TTTTTTTTTTTTTTCCCCGTGTAGGCTTCAGAAGCTCCCGAAATACCTACTTTTAGAAAATGTTAAAGGATTTGAATCCTCTTCTGCGAGGTAAAGTCTAATTTGTGTGGGTTTTAATTTTTAATAAAGCACACATTCTTTAGAAGGGGAAGGCAGGATTTATATATCCTAGGATTTAAGTTAACAAAATGGAGCAAGATGGGACAACTAGCATTTGTGAGTTAAAAATACTGTTTTAATTTAGTAATCAAAATCTTAGCTTGTGATAGGAACTTGCAAAATAACTATTTCTCTGAGCAGATAAAATATGTTCTAACAGGTTGACTTTGTCTGATGATTCCTTGTTCTCTGGAAAGGGTCAATATCAGTTTTCAGAGAAAAATAACAAAAGGCACTTGGAGGTTTTGGGGGTTTATCTGTGGCAGGAGCTCGTAGTATCTTGTGTTAAGATCATAGTACAATGTCGGGTCTTTCTTCAGAACCGTTGACAGTCGATCATCACTAACTCATGATTGCCATCAAATGGTCCAGAGATACGATATGAAGGCTGTATATAATCTTTGAAATGTGGAAGAGGGAAGTTGTCAAGGTTATCTAATGACAGCAGGATCGTTCTCCTCTCTTGTGGAACAAGCAGGAGATCAGGTTGACATCTTCCTTCTCATTTCTTGCTAGAGTAGAGTAGAAGCTTTTCCTTAAAGCACTGGAAGAGTAACCCCCCTGGATATCATGCACTTTTATGAATCTTGCAGGCAGCGGGGAGATGAGTTCAGCTCTCTCGCTGGTTAAGCATACAGCTGTCCTCTGTGAACACTTGGAGCACGTTGTTGGAGGTGCAGGCTGCTGCTGTAGACCCTGCGATTCCCTAGGGCCGTGCCTTGTTGGCCAACGTTTGGAACAAGTTGTAGTTCAGAAAACACCCAGTCAGAGCGCTGGTTTTCTCTTAGAACACTTGGGGTGCAGTGTTACACACAGTGCCAGGTACAGGTCACAGCTCCTGCTTTTTGTATAGCTCCAGCCTAGTGCAATCTGCATGGAATAGAAAAGACAAGTCTCTTAAGATTTCAATTTCATTGATCTTTCCATTGTTTATAAACCTCACTGTTAATATCCAAGCCGTGAGGTTTTGTCATCCCTCGAGTTAGCCCTGTTCTTAGGCTTAGCTGATGCCATGTAAGTGAACAGAGGGAAGTAATGAGCAATTTGGAGTGGTCTTAAACTCCTGTTTTATAATTCACAATAAAGATGATGTCTTGCCCTTTGACTGTTTTCCTTGCTGATGCACTAGAAGTACTCTTGCCGAGATGGGATATTTTTGAAAGATGTATTTACAGAGAAGTAGGTGTGAGATACCTGTGAATATGTCATAGTAATTCTTGGCTACAGTAACACTGAACTTTGTACATTGTCTCCTCAAGTTCAGAAAAGGATGACTTCATATCTGTAATTTTCTAATTCTTTCACTGAATGTGCTGAATATCTTTGTACCTAAGGTGTTGCATTTAATATGGTTTTATTTAGGATAAAAAAGGGCCTAAATGTTGCATGAAGGGAGTAATTGCTTTTTGTTTTGTTGTGCTTTTTTTTTCACTGCCAGAAATGAACTTTTGCAAACACTACAAACGTGTGGATTTAAATACCAAGAATTTCTCTTGTCTCCTACCTGTGTGAGTACAAAATTGCTCTAACATTATTTAACTGTTCAAACTGCACTGAACCCAAGAACATTTGTAAATGATGTATTGTATTAGAGGAGAGTCATGCCCTTAGCTGAAAATATTCTTTTGAATGGGAAGACTATCTGGCACGACTTCTGATTTCCCATCGTTATACTGGCATAATTATGCTGTTGTTATTGTTCAGATTCTAGTCCCCTATTGCTTTGCTACCATTCAATATTTTTTTTAAGAAGCCATGAGTTTACACCATGAGCAGGAAAATAGTTTTCCCTGCGGGAGCCTCACTGCTTCAGAAGTGCTGATGCCTGTGTGAGTTTCCCAGCACAGAAAATGTGACTGTCAGTTGTTGGGGGAGGGTCTTTGTCTGCAGGCTTCTCTGGCAACTGAAAAAAGAGTGGAGAGAGATTTCAGATTGTGCAAGACTAAATGAAATTGATCAAGTACTGCATATATCTGAGAGAAGCTGACGGAGAGTAGCACCAGTTGTGGTGCATTAGTTTCATTGTTGGATGTATTAGAATTCCTTGTTCAGAAAGACAAAGAGATGCCTTTATACTCTTTTAATAGAAAATGGATAGTACCTGTCCCAAGAAATCATGATACATGCCATTTTTCTTACCTTTCATAAGAGTTTTACATTCCTGTTCATTTACAGAGAAAGTAAAAGCCATGAGATACAAAGAATAATTGCCTGCTTGTTTCCTTGAAAATACCTCAGCATGGAAGTTCAGGATATATATTAGTGTGGCATAGTTTTATTACTGTATGTAATGGTATGTGACTTGTATGACACCACAGATCACTTTTTCCTCTCTTTTCATATGGACTAAAGGCTTGTGGGTTTTGCTTTACAGCTTGGCATTCCCAATTCTAGACTGCGATACTTTCTAATCGCAAAGCTTCACCAAGAACCATTTTTCTTTCAAGCTCCTGGTCAGGTGAGTGCATTGGTGTTACTTGAATTTGCTTTGTTTCATGGAGACTGAGCTTAAATTTTCAGTTTACTGATGTGTGGTGATGTAGAAGAATAAGTGATACTAACAGGAAAGCTAAATTCTGTCTCTTTCTTTGGACTGGGTACCGACTGAGCTTTTTAAGGACTGAAGTGCATGCCCATGGCTTAGATGGCTTTAAACAGTTGGGGAATGGCAGCTGGTGGTGGGCTAGAATACAATACATTCTGGTACCTTTTTCACACCCTTGAAAATGGCTTTTTGCAAAGGCAATTATTTGCAGTTTTCCCTGACATCATTGCTCTTAGGTCAGCAAATATTGATGCTGGTTTTTTTTTTTTTTTAAATCTTAATGAAAATAGCATTGATCAGTTACTTACTTTATTCTGAGCATCTCTGAAGGAATTCTTACTCACTGCAGAGTCTGTTGTCAAGTTGTTTATCAAATGCCACTCTTTAATTATTTTCTCACAACCTTCTCCTAGGTTTTGACAAGATTCCCAGATCAGAATCTGGACTTACTCAAAGTCAAAGTTGCTGACAAAGTGAGTGAAGCTAGTTCTTCCTTTTCTTGTGATGAGAAGAATGTGGATCCAAATATTGGTCGTGATTGCAGCAGCAAGAAGAGTTTACCAAAAGGGGCTTTTCTTTTTAAGCTTGAAACAGTAGAAGAAATGAAAAGGAAACATAGTCAAGACAACGATTCCTCTATTCAAATGTTAAAAGATTTTCTGGAAGCGAAAAATGAAGAAATGAGTCAATGTTTCTTACCACCCAAGTCCTTACTGCGTTATGCTTTCTTGTTAGACATTGTTAAGCCCACCTGCCGGAGATCCACATGCTTTACAAAAGGGTAAGCTGCAAAGAAAATATCTTGCTGAATCATGTCCTGAAATTTTAAGTGTGGCTATGCTTGTGTACTGTAAAACCAAAAAGAGCCAGTTCATCAAAAAAATACTCAGGCCTCTGGAAAGGAATAAATAAAATCTCTGTATATAGTGTGCTTCCTGGTCCAGTGGAATGCCAGCATGAGAATCTGTCTGGCAGAACATCATGTGCCTACTCCGAAAATGCATTTACAAAAGAGAGCATCATTTGTTGTTGACCTTGACAGAAGCTTAATTACCCCTGTGGAAATACGGTTCCAGTATACTGATATGGTACTGGTTCATTAATGAATTTTTTTATATTGCTCAATGAAGTTATGAAGTTTCATGTGTGACAGATCCATTCCTCATTAAAACTGTCTCCACTGTACTTTTTACTGATTTCTTAGGGTTTTTTTTCCGCTCTGTAGGTCCGCATGGATGTGGATTGGCCATATGTCATAAAACCAGTTAGGTTGCTGCATTTCAGATCATATTTGATGGAGCAGAACATCAGTGCTTTTCTGTCTAGTAATTTTCTGAATTGTACTTTGTAATTTCAAGTTTGAATGCCAAAGGTGGTTCAGTGTTCTGAAACCCCACAGACAACCAGCCAGGAGCTTTTCTGTTGGATGCATTTGTATTGGAAAGTGCCAGTCAGAGCCTGAAACTTTATGGGAAATATTAATATTGGTGATTTTTTCAAATAAGATTGGTTATTTTTGAATTCTCCCTATGTTTCAATGACATGACTTAGTGGATGAGTTAAATCTAATAACTTTTTAAATAGAAATTGGACTTTTGAATTGACAATATTCGTGCAGATTTTGTGATTTCAACTTTTTGACAATAAAAACCTGAGAAGAGGAAGAATTTCAGATATTCAGAATTTGTGCAACAGGAGAACTCTTCCTCCATCTCTCATTGCGAGCATATGCCTCTTGTGCCCTCACTCGTTTGAGTTGTGGGGGAGTCAGCATCTCATGGAATCTGTTTTAACTAGAATAGTCAAACAGAAACCTTAGGTCAGAATGATCTCTTATGTATCTGTTTCTGCCGTAGGTGTCATCAAAAATAAATTGGCCACTTGTGGTTACACTGGAATACGTCATAGTAGTTTGTGGTCACATTTATCATAATCACGCTAAAGGAGGCTCCTGAGTAGTTTTATATAAATTTTTTATACACAGTGGTGGGAAATCCGACATGGAATGTGGCTTGCCCTTCTGCTGCTGTGGAAGGAGCTGGGCCAGATAGTTGTGGTAGTTCTTGACTCAAAACACAGGACTCTGATTTACTGTCTTTGTTCCTTTTTTTAAGAGCCTTTGGGAAGGAAGGTTTCCAGCATGGTTCTTAATGTGGTCATATCATTTACAGCTCTACATTAAGAGAAAGATAATTACATCTCAGGCTTTGCCCAGGCCGCTTTCGGAGGCCAATAATAAATTGCTGCTGTATGTGTTCTAGGAGTTCTGGTTTTATGTTTCTCTGAAGCACTGGATTTAGGAATGAGATGCCTGAACGGAGCAGAACAGCACTCCAAGTAGTACAGAGAATTCCTCTACTGAGATGCCTCTCTCGTGTCTTTCTTATAAGTCATACTGATCATCCTAATTCAGGGACCTCAAACACCAGTAATTCATCATTGCTTTTTGCTTTTCTGCCTTTGTTATACCTATGTGTTTTCTGAACAGCTTTGGTGGAGTACAGAGCAAAAATGTAGCAGCCTGTGATATGTGAGAGATTGAGCAGGTAATCCCTATGTTCCCTTTCCACCTTGGACTCCTAGGCCATAGGAATATGACTGCTGAGTTTGTTGAGATTACAGATGCCGTTGTTTCCTTTAGGAGTATGTTTGTGGTGACTGAAGCTGTCTGTTTGAAAGGGCAGAGCAAATGAAAATTGGTTCTTTAGATATCGTCATTCTGGACTTGTAAATTCTTGATATGCTATTGACAAGAGAAGCAATATCTTCTGAAGTAGTGTAATATTAGTTAAAGAACCTCTCCCTAACACTGTGGTAATCACCTTTTTGTTCGTCATATTGTAGGACACTATACCCAGAAGTATGTGTCTAAAATGAAAAGTGTGGGGTTTGGGTTTTTTTTTTGTTTTTTAAAAGCTCACAGAAATCAAGGGGGGGAATCTTGAGTCAGATGAAAATTGAAGACTGTAATTTCTTAAGCCAACTTCTTTCATTAGAAGTGGTAATGTAATGTCAGAACATCAATGCATCATTTTTTTAGTGTGACAGAAATTACTGTCCTTATGTCCTGAGTCTAAGGTAGGAATATTATTTTTCTGTAGTCAGCAGCTGCAATAATAATAATCCAGCTAAAATGGGCCATCTGCCAACACTTGTGTTAAAAAACCAAGAACACCCTCAGGCTTCAAACCACTTTTACCCCAACTGGAGGTTTATTTGTTTGGGGTTTTTTTGAGAAGTTTTGTACTCTAGGACCAATTATTTTCCCCCAGTAAAACTCTAAAATAACACTTTGAAATTTATCCTCATGTATTTATTTTGGCTCAGATATGTTTGTGTTCATCTTAAATGCAATAAGGTGGTATATAAGATCAGGACTCCTCAATGCTATATTTTTTGTATTCTTAAACTTGTTGCATTTTCAGAATGCAGCTAACAAATTAAAAGTACTGTATTTACAACACAGTTCAGTTCCATGTGTTTTTAATCTGCATCAGTGTTTAGAGCCTTTTGTTCTGATCCTAAGGAAGATTTTTAAGTGCTTTATTTGAAAATGAGTGTTGCTTTTGCTGGTACTGGCAGAATTACTTGAAATCTTTTCCAGCTGAAGAAGAAATTCTCAAGATTGAGCCATGCTGGGTCATTGTGCTGAAGAGAGCCTATTCCTTTATTCATTGTGAAATTAGAAAGGCTTGAAACAAAAGTTGTTTCAGTGCCTTGCTTTGGAATGGACCTCAAGTGGAGCAAAAGACCTTTATAACTGTCTTTACAGATGCATAGATAAAACTAGAGAATATGAAGTATCTGTTAATAGTTAATGCAGACCACATCCCCCTAATGCAGGGAATCTTCTGAAGTTCTTCCACCGTGCAAAAAGCCATGTGTTGACTTGACTGAGTCTCTGTTCAGAATGTTCAAATGCTATCACAGTTAGACCAGCAAAGCTTGTTTCTGAAAGCCTGTAATTGCGTTTAAATGAGAGCCTGGAAGAGAGTACAGAGTAAACATGTTATGCAATCAACCACAAAGCATCCAAAAAAGCTGTTATATGGTGGTACAATATAAATTTGCTTACTGTTTAGTTGGATTGCATTTTTTTTCCTTTTTCTTTCTTTCTTCTACTGCTCTGCATAGGTGCCTGTCCATCATCCATCTCTCCACTCTTTGGAAAATCTGCAAGCAACCAAAAGTTAAACTTGACTGAACCAGTTTGTTCCTAATGGATTGATATTAAAGCTGAAGACTCACACTAATGGTCCTCCTTTGAATATGGAGAGACAATTTGAACCCCTAGGACCCTTTGACCTTTAGAACGTTTTGCCTTAATGTAAAATTGGTTTGTGCGGTGCAGATAGCCCTTTCTGATGATTCTCTGCTTGAATCCCTTGGTCTTGCATAGTTGCCTTATACAAGGCCTTAGCATGAATCGACCCTTGTGCGTTGATTGCGCGCTCATCTCTAGAGAGCATGTTCAGAGGCTGCTGCACTCCAAGGGTTAGCCTTGTTCATAACAAGGCTTTTTGCTTTATCTCTTTAAATGAATCAAAGAAACCTAAGTAACATCCCTGCATCTTTGCAGTTGTCAGGACTATGAGGTCTGATTAAAATACTGATTTCAGATTGTTATTGTTGTTAAGGTATGGACACTATGTGGAAGGGACAGGCTCAGTTCTGCAGACAGCAGTAGATGTACAGGTAAGAATGTGTATGCTAACAAATGTGAATGACTTCTTTTAAAACTTGGGATTTTTTCTGTCTTCTACGTTATTATTCTGAATATTATAAGAAAAAGCTTTTAAAACTATGTTTTATGACAACTGAGTTTCCAGTTGGTATATTTTGCACTCTTAAACAACAGTTTATTCAAATCAAAATTATATATGTGCCTCTCTGGAGAATATAAGTTACTATTATTTTATTAGCTGTAGTATCATACAGTAGTTTCATGGAGATAATGAAAACATTAAAAATTACTTACTATATGAATAAACTGCAGTACAGTGTCATGAATCTAGGACCATTTTATGTACACAGATGATCCAGTAAATATTGCCAGCTGTTTAACCTGTTTGCATTTCAAAAGTATTATTTATCTGGGAAGGCACAGTATTTTGAAAAGTTCTACTGTTGATACTAAGTTCACCACAAAGTGGTATTTTGGCATTGGGGAAGGTAAAAATAAAAGTATTGGTGAGTAAACATTCAAAGATACTTTTGACAAAGCCTGTTTTGTACACAAGTGCCTCTTCTTGCACTTCTGTGCTGCTCACTAATATTATGTGGCATTTTGAAGCATAAGAAGAATGCGGCTTTGGAATTTAGGGTAATCTCGGAGTGAATGTATTAAAACAGCTGCATCCATACAGTTTAATTGATGGGGATGGTCTGCTATGGAGTTATGTCAAGTCACTATCCTGTCATTAGCAAATGTTTATAGTCCTTTGATTGCCTCATTAAGGATTGGTGAAGGTTGCAACTGGAGGAGGAAATGATAAGTGCCCTCAAGGCAACATTGATTTCTTTCTTGCAAGTTCATGAGATACCAGCTGCAAAAATACACCACTAATCATACTTGCAAGCAAAACATACTAATATCTTTGGTACTGTTGATAATCAAAGAAATACTCTGTGAAGATGCAAGTGTGAAATTTCATGTATTTGGCCTGCGTTGGTAATATCTGCTGGTCTGGATATTCTTGTAGCTTGAGTCAGTGTTTAAACACATTGAAGAGTTACCAGAAGAAGAAAAGCTTATGAAATTGTCAACATTAAAACTGAGGTACTTTACCCCAAGAGAAATAGCAAATCTTCATGGATTCCCACCGGAATTTGGTATGTGCTGCAAACTTCCCTTTTCTGTATCCTGTATAGTCTTTTTATTGGGAACTAATCCACGCTTTTTATTTTGCATTTCTTTTCAGACCACTCAGTTCTTACGATTGCCTCTTGTTATTTGTGTAACTCTGAATTTCTCCGACTTTCCACTAGAGTGTTTTAAATTTTTTTTAAATTTTTTTTAAATTTTATTTTATTAGAGGCATCTTCTGTGGTTAGGTTTATCTTCATAAGCTAAGAGAAATGTTTTGGCATGAGGAATGCTCTATTACTGTATGGCAATGAAGGAATACCTTTGTTTAAAGTTGAAACTATTTACTCAGCCACCAACATTACACACAACTGTGGTAAGTCAACATATCTTGCCAGTTTAGGAGGTCTGTTAGTGGTTCTAAGCGTTTAAGCTGCTTGTTCTCTCCTTTCCACACATTTGCAGCTGCTGACAGAAATGGAATTTCAGAAGATAGAGATAACTCTTTGTTCAGGAGTAACTGAACTCTTCAGTTAATAGTCTTTTGAGTCATCTCTGTTTTCTAGAAAAGGCAGTCCTAGCCCTTGGTCAGTTACTTCATTTTCTAGCTGTTTTTGTGGAAAAGAGAGAGACCCAAGGAACAAGACTCAGCAATACCACTGCACTGGGCACAGATCAACCAGAATTCAAGCTGAAATAAATTCGCCTGAGTTGCCTTTGTAATGAAAGGCAGGCAGGAGAGTGTTGCTGTTACTACCTGCTAAGGAGGCCTGCTGCTCCTATCACACCAGATCAATTTATTGTCTCTCAGCAACACAAGCATCCATAGGATGACACCAC